GGCCCTGTGACATTTTATTAAGTAAGGTTAACCTATATCTTTTAGCTATTGTGATGGGTGTACTGATTTCTATGTTGATTGATTCTTGCCCTCAGATCCTCCAAGTGGCCTGAATCCTGGAAATTGTTGTCGGTATGATAGTTCTTTAAGTAAGTCTGCAGCATTTGCTACTTTATTTTATCTTCCTTCTCATTTGCACATAAAGCACAAACATCTATGTTTTTATTTCCTATGTATTGATAGAGGAGTGCCCTTGCTATTTGCAGGCTTGTTGACAAGGAAATTTATCAACTTAATCCAGGAAGCCAAGGATGGGACGCTTGATCTGAACTATACTGCGGAAGTATTGGAGGTATAGAAACTATATGCCATGTGTTTTAAAACCTAGGTCATATATTGTAGTTCTAAGATATGTTGGTCCGCGCCCAAATTTACAAATTATTTATTTGGGTTCATCATAAAAAATTTATATTTTGTAATATATATCTAAAGCTTTTCTCCTGTACTTGTTTCCATAAATTTTATTTTGCTATTATGTCTGATTCTGATAAATCTTTTTCAAACTTCTTATGTGCATCATGCTGGTTCTTGCAGGTCCAAAAGAGGAGGATATATGACATCACAAATGTGCTTGAAGGAATTGGATTAATAGAGAAAACTTCAAAGAACCATATTCGCTGGAAGTATAATCTTTATCCTCTTGGTGGTACATGTATTTGTAAATTGATAATTTGACTGACCATATGACCTTTTAAACAGGGGAGCTGACAATTTGGGGCCAAAGGAGCTTGATAATCAAGTTGCTTTACTAAAGGTGCATCTAGAACTACATGGTCTTTTTCTTTTACTTTTGTTCCTAATAGGTTCGTTGTTCTTGAAGAATGATTACTTATTAAATTGTGATTCCTACAACTCATCCTGTCCTATATGTTTCTTGCCCTGTTGCCTGTAACATTGGTGCTGGCATTGATAACAAACTCTGTTTAGTTATGTGGTCCTCAATATTCATGCTACTCGTGC